GAGGGGCCTCTGCCTCGCATCGGGTGGCTTCGTGCACGCGCCTCTCTCTGCGGCGTGGAGACCACATCTGACCGGAGGAACCGACCGGCCGCTGGGGATGGGAGGAGCGCAGACAGACGGCCACCCTGCCCACTGACCCGTGGCCCTCTCTCGTTGGAATCCGAGTTTGGGTTATTTTTTTTAAACCATTTTTTATTTGCTAAACAATGCCCTGCCCCTCCTCTATCAACGCAGTCACGGCATCTCTTTTTAACCTCTGCGTGTCTGCCTCTCCGGAGGCCACAGCCAGGCCAGGCAGGCGTTTGCGTCCGGCCCCTGTGGAGATGCCCAGCACACAGGTGCCCAGCAGCATCCTCGCCGTGGCACGGCCCAGAGGCTGGAGGCCGAGGCAGCTCCAGGGCAAGGCCTCTGGGGTCTGTTGCTCCACTGAGAGGTTCATGGGCACGTCCCCAGGCTTGCCGGCTGTGCCAGGCCAGCCCCCCTTAACCCCGGTGATCTTGTCCCCTCTAACGAGGCGGCCAACCCCCAGTGGCAGCCCATTTCCACGTACAGATCAATTTGTCTCCACTGAGGGGAGAGAATTGCAAAGCAAACAAATTATGCACGTCCCACTGCGCCCCCGGCACGCGGCCGGCTCAGGGCTCCCGGCGGTTCTCTTCCCCCCTTGTCTCCCAGGACGACCACCCCCCACCAGGAGGACAAACGTGATGCCCTGAGCTCCTGAGATCTGCCTTTTCTCCAACCGTCCACATCGGCAGAAGCATTAGAAGATGGCTGGTGCTGGGCAGGGGTCTGAGTCTCGGGTGGCAGCTGGAACAGAGGCCCACAGACCGAAGGCCTTGGAACAAGGGAAACTCACCCTCTCGCCATCCCGGAGGCCGCGAGTTCCACACCAGGGGGTGGGCAGGGCCGAGCCCCTCGGCGAGCTCCAGGCAGGGCCCCCAGCTTCCTCCACTTCGGGTGGAGCCCACAGTCCTCGATTCTGTGGCGTAGGGCGCGGGGCACACCCTCCGATCCCTGCCCGTCGTCACATGGCCCCTCCCTGGGCTCCTGCGTCTCCTCCTGCTCTCAAGAGGACACTAGTCATCGGACCCGGGCCCACAGCACCCCAGCATGGCCTCATCTTAACTTGGCAACATCTGCAGAGACCCCACGAGGTCACCGTGGCAGGTGCCTGGGGTTAGGACGGCTGCATGGCTTTTAGGGGACAGCAGGACCCGGTGTCCACAAAACATGAGCAGGCTGCCTCGTTAGCTCGTAACACAGCAACGCCCCCGGCACAGAGCACGGGAGCGAGGGACCCAAGAGGAAGGGAGTCTTCTCGCTGAAGCCGTAGCCTCTGGCCCCCGACTGTGGGAACAGAAGAGTCAGGAACAGAGCCACCCACGGGTCACTGCAGACGATGGGTGTCAGCTCGTCCTGCGCGGTCAGTGGGGAAGGGGGTCAGTGCTGACGAGGGTGCCGGTGAGGCTGCGTGGAGGAGATGGAGCCACCCTGGCCTCGGTCCTGTTCACCAGCCAGACACATGGCCGAGGAGCTCACAGTCCCAGGAACCCCAGCTAGCCATGTGGCCCAGGGGTAACGGTCCCAGGAACCCCAGCTAGCCATGTGGCCCAGGGGTAACAGTCCCAGAGACCCCAGCTAGCCATGTGGCCCAGAGGTAACAGTCCCATGAACCCCACTAGCCACGTAGCCCAGGGGTGACTGTCCCAGGAACCCCACTAGCCACGTGGCCCAGGGGTAACGGTCCCAGGAACCCCACTAGCCACGTAGCCCAGGGGTGACTGTCCCAGGAACCCCACTAGCCACGTAGCCCAGGGGTGACTGTCCCAGGAACCCCACTAGCCATGTGGCCCAGGGGTAACGGTCCCAGGAACGCCTCCCCGGCTGGGAGCAGGGCGGCTGTGGGGACGGGAGCCCAGGTTGGCGCTGCGCCCTGGGCCCCCCCTTCACGCGAGGCCGCCCCTGCCCAGCTCGGCGGGCAGCCCCTGGCCGCGCTGCCATCTTGGCGAAACATCCCGGCCTTGCTTCAGCCGAGAGAGACGCAGACTGGCTGCAACCGGCTCCGGTTCCCTTTATTGAATTGGGCGATATTGGATTTATGGAACTCAACTTTCTGATGACAAAAAATTATCTGTGCGGCCAAATAAAGATGAACGAAGCTCCGAGCCCACTCAGAGGCAATCTGGGCCACTAACCCGCCCGCGGCCGCTTATCGCGCCCGCCGGGGATGGTGTCATCTGCGGGGTTGGGATGCAAAGTGCCCCTTTGGAGTTTTCTTAAGCTAACATTAGAAAATTGTACATAAATTCAATCTCGGCTAAAAGGTAAAGATAGTCCACCGCCAAGGGCGAGGCCCCGCCGCACGGCAACTGCTGTGCTTTCTGTCCAATCGGACACCAACGGAGGGGGCACAGCATGGCTCTCTCGACTAATCAATTACATTTGAGTAATTGATCGTATATTATTATTGATGAAAGCCCATAATATGTGAGTTAGAAGGGAGTGGGTTCTCGAAAGATTAGATTTGTACAGGAAAATGGAAGGGAAAAAAATGACTGTCATAAAATCATTTGAGTGGTTTACGGTTTAATGCTGGTGGGTCCCGGAGACGGGCCCGCTGCTCCCCCTCGCCCCGCGCCATCCGCCCGGGAAGAGGGGAGCGGGCGTCCAGCAGAGGGGGGAGCTGCAAGTCCGCGGGGCCGCTGGGGGCGGGACACGGTCCTCACGGGGAAGGGGAGAGGGTTTGGCTGGTGCAGCCTCGGAGGGCAACCGGGTGGACAGTTTAGGAAGAAATGGGTCCCTTTTAAGAAGGTGACTTCTTGCCCTGGCCCGTTTGGCTCAGTGGTTAGAGCGTCGGCCCGGGTTCGATTCCAGCCACGGGCATGTACCTCGGTTGCAGGCTTGGTCCCTCGCCCAGGTCAGGGTGCGTGTGGGAGGCAACCAATCGATGTCTCTCTCTCACATCGATGTTTCTCTCCCCCCCCCCCCACTCTCTCCGAAAAGTAGTGGAAAAAATATCTTTGGGTGGGGATTTTTAAAAAAATCTGATTTCTCACAGTAAGAGGCATCTCCCTGGTAAGGGGGCATCTTCCCACCCCTGAGGGCACGAAAGCAAAGATGGTAAGACCAGTGATGAGATGGGGAGGACCCTAACACCCCTCTCGTCGCCGAGAAGCGACCAGCGGAACAAGCCCGGGTGCGTCGCGCTCTCAGCAGTGGCTGGTCGGGGAAGGCGGCCTTGGCCCAGCTGCTCCCTCTCAGTTACGATCATTATTGGGGGCCGGGCAGTGCCTGTGCTCCGAGCACTGTGACGGCATCTGTCCCTCGCCTTCTGGCCGCCCCAGTGACGGACAAAGGCCGTCGGTGCTCACAGGACTCCTGCTTTCCTTCCAGTGCGGGCGTTTCATCAGACCGAACCCGGCCGTGTGTCCTGCACCAGCCCCGTCGGGAACCTCAGGAGGCCTTTTCATCGGCGAACTTGAGTATCGGGAGCTCACGCCCTCTTTTCTGTTGTTTGTTCTTTCCGCCCCCGAGTATTTGCGAGGGGGTTGCTGGGCCTGTCCTCCAACCTCCTGTCCCCACGATTTCCTCTTGGGGGTACCTGTGCTCTGACCTCTAACCTGTCCCTCGCTTGTCTCCCGACCACGCCAGGGCCCAGGGCCCTCTGTGAACTCGGTTGAAGAATGGATTTCGAATCACGAATCCTACTACTCAGGTCCAGACGTTGTCCCTGCTTCTGCGAATCTCTGTCCATTGTGTGCCCCCCACGCCGCCTCCCTGGCTGCAGCCCCCCCGCTCACAGGCCCTGCTGGGGCGCTTTGTGGCCCACGCAGCCGGGATTAGCAAACCCAAGTTGTTTGACCTCAGATCCTTAATGGGGTGTATCCCGGGGAAAAGAAAATGGGAAAAAAAGAAAAATCTTGACCAGTTTCTGGCCATCACCCTGTCACCCGGTGGGGGGGGGGGGCACTGACATTGTCCTCCTGAAGCCGACGTGTGTGTGTTGCAAATAAAGCAAATAAGCAATGATCAGAAATATTAATTCTGTCATTCCCAACATTGGAAGCCAGGGCAGCAGCTGAAGTAATTCTGAACTTGAATCCAAAACATCACTATGAACTCTCCTGCGTTTACCCTTTAAAAGAAAACGTGTCTAGCCCGGCCGGGCGTGGCTCAGCGGTTGAGTGTCGACCTGGGATCCAGGCGATCAGGGTTCGATTCCCGGTCAGGGCACATGCCCGGTTGTGGGCTTGATCAATGACTCTCTCATCATTGATGTTTCTATCTCTCTCTCTCTCTGAAGTCAATAAAGATGTATTTTAAAAAAAAAGAAAGAAAGAAAACGTGTCTAGTCCACGGAGAGGGCCTGGAAGTCACACCCCTTCCTCCAGGCAAAGAGACACAGCTCACATCTCAGGGGTCCCGGGAGACCCTTCCTCCTGGAGTCAGGGCCTCGAGGCCTGGGGCCTCCAAGCAGGACCCTTGGGTGACACTACAGGGCTTGAGGTTCTTGCCAGCTCTCCTGCCCTTGAGGCCTTGACCCTGAGGGGGTCACCTGCTGCCCACCGCCCCTCCTCCCAGCCTGGAACACGACCGTTCACCTCTGCACCCACCGCCCCGCACTCCCAGACACTGCCTCAGCCGCAGGACCCAGCGCCTCGGCTCCCACTCGGCCCTGCACCACCCTCTCTCCACGCGTATGACCTTGGGCGTGACAGGAGCCTCAGGTCTCCCATCTGTAAGGGAGAGGCCCCTCCTGCTTTAGGGACCACGCACAGACAGTGAGAATGGCAGCCCTGTTGGTGGCCACCAGGGCGGCCTGGCTCCACCAGAGACCAACTCTTTCCCCAGCAGGTGCCTCACACGTGGCATCGGGTGAATAAAACACTTTAATAAAAGGGAAACGGCTTGATGGGATGTCCCTGGGACATGAGACCGAGAGCCCGGGGCTCCGGCCAGAGGCGCTGGGCCTCGGCGTCGCCCGCGGACCCCGGCACCTAGTACTTGAGCAGCCAGAGCGGCTTGTGCTGGCTCAGCGCCGTGAAGTAGGACCACCACCAGGGCTTGCTCCCGCTGCCCGGCTGCCTCCGCAGGGGCTCCCGGCCGGGCTCCTCGGGCTCCCCGTGGGGGCCCGCACCCCCTGGCGGGTATCGGAGCCCAGGCCCGCCTCTCCGAGGCCCGGGAAGGAATTTCTTGGGTCCGGTCCCCAGTGGCTGGAGAATAAAGTCCACCCGGCCGGCCCTCTTCATCCGGGCGGGGATGGTGACTTTCTTGATGACCTTGGAGTAGCCGGGAGCTTGAGCAATGACTATGTGGGACCCTGGGGGGAGCAGTCTCCAATAGTCGCCATCTGGGGCTGTTGACAAATAGAATAAAACAGTTCTCAGACCTGGGCTCAGAGTCAATCTGGAGATGGTGAGTAATGGGAGTCAGAGGGGGCGTTAGTCTGGAGGCAGAGAGACCCCAAACTTACACTTGCCTCTGTAATGACCTGGAATGCCCTTCCCCCCTCCTCCCCCATCAAACTCCTATTCATCCCTCAAAGCCCTGCTCAGGCGCCACCTCCTCTCTGAAGCCTTCATAGGCCACCCCACCCTCCATCCCCAGCTCACACACTTAGCCCTCCCTCCCTCCTCTGGACCAGGTAACTCATATCAGTGTATCTGACTTTCAAGTCAGCTGTGAAATCCTGAGGGCACCTGGAGCCCTTACTGGACGGGCCAGTTTATCAGTGGGACCTAAACTCCGGGATGTGAACAAACGGGCTCATGGACTGGACGCAGCAGCTCCCTCCTGTGATTTTTGAGAAGGTGGCTTTTCCCAGCACAGTTTTTTTTTCCTCATAAGTTTTTATTGGGGAAGATTTCAAACATTTCACACTGATTTTTTTTTATGTATTTTTAAAAAATCCTCACCTAAGGCTGTGCTGAGAGGAAGGGAGAAAAAAAAACATTGATGTGAGAGAGAAACATCGATCGGTTGCCCTCTGTGCATGCCGGACTGGGGGTCAAACCAGCCACCCAGGCATGTGCCCTGATGGGGAACTGAACTGGCAACCTTTCGGTCACAGGACGATGCTTAACCAGCTGAGCCACACCGGCCAGGCACCCCAGCACCGTTACTTCTTGACCAGCATGGCGACTCGGGCGCAGAACGGCGCTCACCTGTGGTGATGTCATGGCGAATCCCCTTGACGGAAATGCGGGCGTTTTTAACCGGCTTGCCGAACTTGTCCATCACCACGCCCTTGATGCCCCGGTGCACCTGCGGGAGCAGAGGCCAGGGCGTGGGCATGGCATGGGCCCTGCAGAGCCTGCCAGCTGCCCAGCCGGTCCCCGGCCAGCTCCATGGAGCCTGGGTCTCGGGTGGTTGAGCCCACCCCTCACTTGGCCTTCTTGAGTAAGTCACTCCCCTCTCTGGCCTCAGTTTCCTCATCTGTGAAATGAGGGTGACCAGTGGGCCCATCTACGGGGCGGTCAACCCATCCCTGGGTCTGTGAATGACCTGAGTCCTGCTGGAGCGTCCGGCTGACAGCACCTCCCACGCTGTGAGCATCGAGCAGAAAAGCCTTCTGTCCACCGGCTAACACCTGAGTGGCCCCCCCGCCTTCATAATCAGAGCCTTGGCCAGGTTCTCTCTGAGGGGAGGTCCTGAAGGCAGTGTGGGCCACCGGGAGGACAGGGCCAGGGGCTGGGCCCTGGTGTCTCTGACCTTGGGCAAGCTACCTCGCCTCTCAGCGTGGCCGCCCCATCTATGAAGCGGGATCAGGCGGCCTGCTGGGTGCTGGAAGGTTAACAATACATAGTAATAGGGACAGCACCAGAGCTGGGACATGGAGCCACCCCTCCCAGCTGTGCACTGGCCCTGAGCACACCCGTGGGTCCTGCACACAGCCCATGGTGAGCCTGGGATGCAGCACTTTCCTAAAGCAAACCTCCTCCCAGAGCTGCCTGACCCTGCTCACGCGTCTCCTCCTAAAACAGTCGGCAATAGGCAGCCAAACCGCCCTTGCTCTACTGGGCTGAAAACAACCTGGGTCCACAGGCCACATCACATGAGGTCGTGACCACTGCATGGGAGGGGAAACAGCGCAGTGAGACTGGTCTCTCCCAGGAGGCTGCTCCGCCTACCTTCAGTGTGGCCCCAATACCTCGTCAGCTCCCTCACCTGGCCAATTCCTCTCCCCTTCGAGACACAGCTCACAATTCTCTTCCTCCAGGAAGCCCTCCCTGATGACTGGTCACAGCAGGGGCCTCCTCTGGGGTCCCACGGCCATGGGCTTCCACTCTCCCAGGCCTGACCTCACTGTAATGTCACTGACTACTCTCCTGGCCCCAACCTGAGAGCAGAGGCCAGACACATAGTAGGGCCTCATTCGATGTCAGCTTGCGCTGGTTGGGTTTTATTCTGTCCTTGCCCTCAGGCTGAGGACTCGTCTTCCTGTGGAACCCGGACGTGGAGCTCTCTGGCAGGAGGGAGAAAAAGCGAGCACCTCTCCTTTCCCCTCCCCACAGCCCAGGGAGATGGAGACACCCTCCCAAGGCCTGGTCAGGATCACGGCGAAAACGGCCTCAATGGGCCACGACAGGCCCGATCCTTATCAGAAGCCGGCCGGCTTTCCTGAGGGGTCGTCCTCAGGGGCAGCCATGCCCGACCACGGGCTGCCCAGCCATCCACAGCATCCCGCTCGCTATTAAATCTTCATATCCCAAGACTTCACATACAATATCCTCGGAGCAATCCCAGCTCCACTCAAGGCTCCTTAAAACTCATTTTCACCAGACGGCCGTAAAATGAAATGGGGGGG